TGTAGTAGTATATATATATATATATATATATATATATATATATATACTCGTAATTTTAAGTAGGTCATATTACTCCGACTCAGCAAAATCGACAATCTCACTGATAATATCATAAAATATAATTGAAAAATAGAGCTCAATGGCATTTCATTCATGGCCTCTGTCATCGAGAAATAAACTCCCGCTAAAGCATAATCCACCTCGCACGTACACAATAAATGCGTATAGCGACTAACAGCACAATATCCGACTCTAGACCTCTAGGTCTGTACAACATCGATGATTGTATTACTTATATGCTTGTTTCATAGCAGAATAGAACACGATTTTGACGGATTCGTTGTGAACAGATTGTCCTAAACATATGCCTTATCACGTTTAGTAAAATAAAGTATTTGTCTGAACATTGAGATACGCGATACGACGATAACAAGATGTTTAAGTACACTTTCTTACCAAATGAGTCGTAAATTAAATTGATTCACTGACGTCAATTTATAGTTCTAGAGTACATTTCGCTGGCAAGTTTATATGCACAATCTACATATAGACAACACAATTATATTATACCACTGCCCGATAATTAGGAACATACACACATCTATGCAGCCAAATATTCATATTGATAACATATTATATATATATATATATATATATATATATATATATATATATANTTCACGGTATTCACGTTCTCACCTGAAACACATTGTTCCTAAAACGCGAGAATAGTATAGCGCGAGTTATATACATATATATATATATATATATATATATATTATATATAGCTTTAGATATAGCAGGCATAAAAATATACTTGTTCTTTCTTTAAGCAATCTTAAGAGAATTGCGGCTATGAAACCATCGATCGAATATCTATAGCACGCATAATATTAAGAGCATACATAAGCTCTACGTTATGCGACTCACATAACCCAACGTTTTATCTTCTTTTTTTTCTCCGGTCACTACACTACACTCGACCTAGACACTGCAGCACACAGGACCTTGCACGGTGGTTGAAAACCTCAAGGTCTCCAGGTCTACAGGACTCTGTATGATGTGTAGTGTAGTGCAGTGTGGTAGAAGGATTCGTGGGTGGGGAACCCAAGGTTTTATGTGAGCATATAACTCAGAGATTCTGTGCTTTTCATAGTATTAGGAGCACATTAACACAAACGATTTGTAATGTTAATGTAGGATTCTTTATTCTAATACTACTGTTAATTCCGGAGAGTATACAGTTATGCGTGTATATGCAGTGCGCTTTATGGGTACGTGTATGGTTTTGTATTTATATAATCTAAACATATTTTCACAACAGGAATACATAATATATATTATAATCGTTGTTTAATTGCCTTCGTGGCTTCGACAAGTGAGCATATATAGTGATATGTTCATCCCCAAGTACAAGCTACGACAGCACGCATAACTTTGTTGCGTGGACGTTAAACAGTTTGATGCTTGTCATTCTGTGAGATTGATATGGTCATTATTGACACAAGAGAAATTCCCCTTCTGTCCTACTGCACACCTAGCTGAGGAACGCAGGGCTGAGGAAGTAAATATTGTAAAGGAAAATCAACACTGTACTGTGTGCGACGTAACCGCCGGCTCACGGGTTAATATATGTTCGCAAATTAACCATTTCGCATCTTATAGGCGGTAAACAACATCGACTTCCGCGCGCGTGTTTGGCGTATTCAGTTCCGAAGGACTTCTAGCGTGTATGTAACGGCTAAATCACCCAGCGGGGTTCTATGATGGCGCTAACTCGCCCTGGATAATTCCGGCCGCGTGCGAAGGAAAACTTGAAAGGGATACGGTTAGAGCAATCATCGGCCCGACTTGCTATAATATGCCGGAACAGAATCAGATTGGCGGCAATCAATTGAATGATTAAAGTTTGCAAGGCTAGCACATTATTTATGCGTCAAAATCTTAACGTAAGTACCCGGTGATGTGAGTGGAGAAAGGCATGAGTAGCTATTAAAATTGTAAAATTGTAAAGTAAAATTTAAAATTGTAAAATTGTAAAGTAGTAGTTGAGTAGGTATTAAAATTGTAGAAACATTTGCATTGCTCGGAGGTTGGTTCTTACGCCAGAAGACGCTGGTCGCACGAGTAACAAAGGTTTGTCGGAAACACGTTATCCATATAAACCACCTCGCTAAAAAAGTCAACACTAAATAAAAATCGCAAATTAGTAGTACAGTCATCAAGATATTCGGCTCAAACTTACTATAACCACATTTACTATAATATGATTTTTCAAAGTTACCGTTATGACTTAAAGCCAGCTACGTAAGTCACCGTCTCTAATATAAGTTGAGAATCGTGTTTTATACTTAAATGGGATTGTAAAGATCCACGTAGTCTGTGTTGTAGAGGGGAGACACAATATATCATACTGTAATGTGTTGCGTTTTAAGTATTTTTGCTAAATTTCTTTTGCTCTGTTTATATATTCATTTTTGATAACAAATAATATATACATTTTGGATTCTGAGACACTGTCTAGCGCGTTAGTCACTATCTGGCAGCTGTACGTAGCAATGAATAAGCATCATATGACATTTTTCATTAAATAATACCTCATGTCTGCATGTGTATGCGTATAGTAGGTGCGAGTGTATGTGGAGGGGAATATTTTCGTGATATTACAGTGTGTCTCTTTTCAATGACTTATCGCGTGTAAATAGATATGACTTTAACATAGATAGCACGGATCTTCCCAAGGTCCGTTGGTCGTTTCGAATTGATTATAATACCACAGAAAAAATACACTGACGTGGATTTCTGTTCAAATGTATATTTGTCTATATGCGAATAAATTTATGCACATGTGCGCGTTTATATGAGTGTGTGCGTGTTAGCGCGCGCGTGCATTAGTGCGTGTGTGCCAGGTCCCTTCGTGGGTCATTGTGTAAGCGCGCACACATGAGTTAGTCAGTATTTTTATCGGAATGGGGTGATAATTTAATTAAATGATTGATTGAATGATTGATTGATTGATTAATTAATTGATTGGTTGATTGATTGATTAGTGAATAGATGAATGAATGGATGGATGGATGGATGGATAGATTGATGGATGGATGGATGGATGGATGGATGGATGGATGGATGGATGGATGGATGGATGGATGGATGGATGGATGGATGGATGGATGGATGGATGGATGGATGGATGGATGGATGGAGTGGATGGATGATGGATGGATGGATGGATGGATGGATGGATGGAGTGGAGTAGGAGTAAGGTGTAGGTGGTAGTGGAG